CTTGACTCCCTCTTCTTTGTGGCAGCCCCTGAGATGGGACATTTGGGGCAATGTCCCTATGGGTTGGGACACCCAACACATTGGGACATTAAAAAAAAAAGTTCCATCCACCCCCCCCATAAAGCTTTCTCAACTTTTGTTCATTCTTCCCCCCCTTCTTTTCATGAATTCCCGTATATTTAGTAAAGAAAACAAAAAGCGAATTATGCAGTGATCACTCCCTTTCCCTGGGTTTGTTTGTGTGTGTGTGTGTGTGTGTGTGTACACACACCTGTGACTGTACCACAAGCGTAGGGAACTCTCACAAACAGCATTAAAAAAAAGAAAACTTCCTCTCCCATCACTCACTTAAAAGAACCAGGTATTTTCACATTTATTTTGTCTTTTGGGGTTGTCACTAAAGTCTCCAGATTTTTTTTGTTGTTGTTGTTTTTTGTTTTGGCTTCTATAGAAATTTATCCCAAAAGGGAAAAAAAATAATAATGAAACAAAACTTAAAACCAAACCAAAAAAAGAAGACAGACAAGATATTGTGAGGACGCAGCTCCTCCGCACACCCAACTTATCTTCCCCGCTTTGGGGGAGCAAGCATCCCGTGTTGTGAATTTCCCCTCTTCCGAAATTGGTCTGTCGGTCACCTCTGATCTTCTCTTCCAGCTGTTCCTTCAAGTTCTCGGGCCTGGGATCTCTGTGTGTGGAACCCACTGGGTCCCCTGACTTCTCCAAAGACAATCCGAGCGGATTCCGAGCTTAACCTTAGTGCCCAGTGCTTATTTTGTCCACACAACCCCAAACCGTACTCATCTTAGCTGAGTTTGGGAGTCACACGGAGCGAAGTGTGCTTTCTGCTGGAGTAGGTGGGTGGGGCATTTCAGGAGTGGGGACCCTACCTCCCCCTCTTCCCCCCCTCCCCATAGCTGGGGGGGGGGGTCATACCCCACACCGGTTTCCTTGTTCCTTCAGTACATCTTGCTGAGCACATCCTCCAGAGGTTGACGGAATGGGGGGGACGATGGAAAGAAAACATGGAGGACGATCTAGAGGAGAAAACTCTTCTTGAAAAGTAGGTTAAGTTTGGGGATTTCTTCTCTCCCACAACACAACTGCGCTCTTTGCTTGTCGCGGCCCAGACTTGTGTTAAGGAACCACTCACCCAGGGGTGAAATTTTTTTTTGGGGGGGGGGGGCAGAGAGCGAGGGGGAGACGGAGGAACGGACCAGGCATGAGTACCTCATTCTCGTAGAAGGAGGGCGACACAAAAAAAGGGGAACACCCCCCCCCATCCCGTGTATTTTGGAAAGAGTAGGTGGATTTCTTTCTCCAGGCCACTTTGGAAGGAGAGCTGCAAACTCCCGCAGCCCCCAAGGGCAAGGGTCCCTGTATGGGGCTGGGTGGGTCCTCCCAGTTTTTGGGTCCCTCGTTCAGGGCATACGCATAGCGTACATCTCTTAACTGGAGGCACCTCCGCCAGCGAGCGAAGGCAAGGTCCACAAGGAGGGGCCCCGAAAGCAAGGGCAGGGAGGGGTCACTCCTGCTCGTTGAGTTCGCGGGGGGCTGCCCTCCGTGGAGTGCCTTCTTCAGGCGGCGGGGGCCCCCGGGGCGGCGGGGGAGCTCCCCGAAGAGTCTGGATGCGCCGGCACTCGTGGCAAATGCGGACGTGGGTACAAGGCCTGGGGGGATCTTCCAGCAGGCGCTGAGGGGCTGGTTCTGTCACTAAAGTCCCCGAATAGAGTTTGCCGTTGCTGAGGCGCATCTCCCGGACGGATCGCAGCGAAAGTCCCCCGCGGATGGGGTAGTGACGCCGACGCCGTCGGGAGCGAGTCGGCTTGCGGCAAGAAACGGCGTGACGCAGCTCCCTCAGCATCTCTTGACACACCGAGATCTGCAGGAGGTTGAAAAGGAGAACAGTCAGACTATTAGAGTTGGAAGGGACCTTGGAGGTCATCAAGTTCAACCTCTTGTTCCAGCAGGAGATCCTATATCGTTCAGTCAAGACCGAATGAATGAATGTGCATGGGCTGGGAATTCTGGGGGATGGTTCAAACTTTACAACAGGGCTGAGAGGGTGTAGTTACAACCAATCGCAGCGTCCCCACAAATGTGTGACTGTGATGTGGACCCTCAGCCCCCCCCCCCCCGGCTCTCGTGATTATGTTGCAAGAAGCTGTGATTCCATGATCACAATTTCCTTGTCAGCTTCCCATAAACAAAGTCATTGGGGAAGCCATCAGGAAATCGGAAGTCCTGGAGATCGTTGCTTAATGACCTGCAAGGTTCTTGTTTAACAAGCAATTTGGATCACCAGAACCTCTGTCACTGAGCAATATCGTCATGTAGTGTCACATAATGACGGCAATTCCGGTCCCGATTTCCCGTTATAAGCTGAGCACTACCCGTACAACAAAATACCGGTGGGTCCTCACTTAATATCCACCCATTAGCTGACTGCTCAAACTTAACAATGCGAAGCAAATGATACTTAAAACCGGTCCTCCTACCTACGTCATTTGAGAGCTCACACAAACACCGTTTGCGACCTTCTTGTCAATAGGGAAGCTGGCAGGTCACAAATGGAGACCATGCAACATCCTCACTTAAACGACCATTAAGGATTTGCTGAATGAGGGCAACTGGAAGTGCCAGAAATTCCCCCACTGAGCATTATGGACACATGATGTCACACTTAGTGATAAAAATTCCAATCCCCATTATTGTTGTTAAGTGAAGGCTGTCTGCGCTCAAACTAGTGTCATTCTGGAAGTATGAGCAATGCACTGAAAAAGTTTCTTCGATGAGAAGCGAAACATCTTCAAGGAAAAACAAAGTCCAGTTGCCTTTTAGTAAGGATTATGCGGGGCTACTAAACTCAGCCTTCGATTTCCAACTGTTTGCCCATGGATACATGTTGTGGCCCAGCAGGATCCGGTGGAGCTGCTGATGGACTCAGATGGTGAGGAACCATATGAGTCTGCCATGGAAGATGTGGAGGACCCTGGGCAGGGTTCAGACT